GTTTTTCGGTTAGTAGTTGATCAGACGGAAGAGTGCAGGAATTGCTGCTTTCAGACTTCTATGTCCGCCCGTCCGTCGCCTGCGTGCTGCGGCAGCGGCACTAGACACGTGTTGACAACACTAGATCATGTGCCATCGCTGACAACACCTGTTAAGCGCCGCCGTCGCAGCACGCACGCTAAGGACGCACGGACGGACGGGCGTCGGAGTCTGAAAGCAGGCCATCAAACATTTCGTTCGATTGTTCATTCGTTCGTTTCAGGTTTGAAAGGTATGCGTGGTGGTATTAGCGTACCACTGGTTAATTCTGGTATTCTTAGCGATGTTGACATGATGTTAGAGGCGTTCAAAGAGAAGCGCTCAGTTCGGTAAGTTGTCGCTAAGGTTAGTGGATATGAATCGATACCCACAATAATCATGTAAAGACCCCCTTTTTCAATGAATAAACGTTGAAAGGTGGAGGAGAGGGTTCTTCGACCTTTTTCAACGTTGAGCACGAAAGCGCAGAAGACGGCTAGCCCCGATTGAGTGTTTAATTCTTACTCCATCCCAGCTTTTTGCGCCCCATCTGCTCTTACCATCTTAAAATCAGATGAAAGCCATGTTTCTTCGGCTAGAAACCGTTTCTAAGTTTGAGTCGGCTACCACACCTCTACGTCTAGCGCTCAAGGCTCCTAACCCTCGCAACTACATTTTCGCTGAGAAAGCATTACCCTAAACTTCATATTTTGGAATGAGAAAAGTTTGCTTTTTAATCGGAATTTAGGCTGGTCAAATTCCATGAAGTCGCCGTTGATTTTGAACTGTGCAATGTCTACGCTGGACGATTGAATGTTCCGGATTTGCTAGAGGTTTTTAAAAGAGCATGGTTCATTCTAATGTTCTCAACGTTTCGATTTTCAGTTCGCGGAATGCTTTCTGAGAGCTGCTTTCGATTGTGCAAGGCCTAGAAAGGAGACCAAAATTGGAGAATTAGTTGAAAGGACCTTGACAGTAAGGTTTCTTTGTTGAGTTTTCGACTTAATATAAAATTTGTAATCTTGTTTCTTCAATTAAGAGCGTAGCTTTGAGCTTGGGAATTTGAAGAATTGCAGTTTTTAGGAGCGAATTTTCGGCATCTACGCCACTTATGTTTTGTATTATGCGCAGCCCACTGACTACGTCTCCAAGGTACCCATTATTAACTTTCTAGCCTCAGTGGCCATTACGATACACAAATTCAGATTCTTGTGACTTCACAAGATCTTGTCGACCTTAAGCAGTTTGTCACTGAGTCACTACTTCCCGGACGTCATCTGGACACTATCGGCTGCATCTATAAGCTTCTGGCAGATGATGCATTTAGTGTTGGCGCTTTTCCAAAATGTGTGAGTTGATGAGCCGTTGTTTCGAAGAGTGGAAAGGATTTCCTAAAAGTTGTTCATGTAGTATGATCCCGCTTGCCATCGCGGTTACACCCTACCATTTTCACCCGACGACGTCGTTGATGAGGATGAGAAACATGCCCCATTAGAGGCCGCTGCCTCAATTATGGAGCATCCCATCCTGAAGGTTCTGTTTGATTTTTTTCTTCCTAGTCGGCTCTATTTGTCCAATAAGATTGTATTTGCAGACAATGGCGCATGTGCAGCAAGAAATGGAGTTAAAACAGAGTCTCATTTCAGACCGTCCTATTGTAGCAGAGTTGAAGGACAACTTTTTGAATCGATTGACCAAGTATCTTCATTATTTCTAGGATTGAGAGGCGTTTATTAGAGCCGTTGCATTTTCAGCATATATGCGTCCTTAAAACGAGAAGTCGATAAGGTTGGAATTGGCGAGACTGATGATTCTGAACCGGTGAGCTTCCAATAGTAAGTCATGCTTCTTGAAGGGAGAAGCCTTGGAGCGTTAATCAATTTCGCCTGAGGAATGCGCGTGCGCATTCGACTTCCAACCAGAATCGTGGTGACGTAATGAATATGTATGTGGCCTATACAATGACTTGCGGCGACCAGCCGATGTAAAGTGCTTTTATCCTGTCAGACGAGTCTTGTACCAATAAACCAAACCTGGAGGGATGGGAGGCTTGGTTGGCCTGGACGAATATGGGGCCGGGATTGGAACCCGTGACCATGCGTGCGTAAAGTGCGCCACTTGACACTACCCCGCCATAATGTAACTATTTATTTAGTAAGTTTAATAGAGATGTAGTTTTCGAGGTCAATGAATCCCTTGTGGACACCCATGAATTTCTTCTGTAGAAGCTTTCTGATTTCTAGCATTGACAGGATCGTTACCAGAAAACCTGTGCGAAAAATCCAAATAATTTGTATATTCATCTGTTTTGCAAGCTTTGTTATGTGCTTCGAAGGATTCAACTAAAATAGTATGCAAATAGCAGATAGTATGTTCATTTTCAGAGTGCTGTGACAAATGAAAATGGAGTGGTGATAAGTGGCGCAACCGAAGAACTGGCTCAAGGTCCAAGTCGGTCGTCGATAAAGGACAAGGCTTACGGTTCGTCTATACAATACGCGAGAAATCGACGCTATGCAGATCCGAATATGCACGGTACGAATGCAATTTTTGATTCGACCAATCGAGTTTGGGATTTTATTATGCCACTTACTAGTAACATCTCTAGAAAACTTTCCTGATGCTGGAAATTGTGATGAGGAAAAGGATGAGGATTTGACAGTTTCTGATAGCCAGCCGGCTGCGGATGTAGCTTCTCCTCCGAAGAGGAAGAGGAAACCTAGGATAAAACTGTAAGTCTCCATATTCTTTCGAAACTTTTCACGGTTCATTAGTAATATATGTTCTATTCAAGGATAGGGGCTAAACCTCCTGATGCAGCTGATGGTACTCCTGGTGAAAGTTCTAAAGAAGTTAGTATTTAATGGTTATTTTGTTATGTTTGTATACGATCGGAATTTGACCCTGTTTCTTTTGCTCTCGCGTTCGAGCTTCCTTCGTTGCGTTCTTCGATCTAAAATGATGAGAGGAGATCCTAGCATTTCAGGTTGCACCTTCACCTCAACGTCGTCAGAAAATGAGAGCGCCTAAACGTGCCAAAGGTGTACCATTATCAAGTATGTTTTTGTTATTTACATATAAATCGTAGTGCAGTGAGCAGGTGTGGAATAGAAGGTTTCAGCTGAACTGAAGAGAGTAGTAAGTTGAAGTTTTTTTGTGTAGGTGAAGCGAAACCTCTCTCGGATGAAGTTCAACCCGAAATAACAACTCCTGTCGAAGAGCAAGTCACAAGTAAAGTAGTCAGGTAAATTACATAGTAAATTTCCATTCCCTTTTCCACCACGTATGAGACACCATTAGTGAATATGAGCCAGCCCCCTTATTTTGCTTACAATCAGTTTTCGTTCTGTATCGACTTTGCAGAGTAGTGAGAGCATGGTTCTGACTCTTCGTACAGAAGTAAATGCATAGTGGAAAATGCGCTTGCTCGGGTGTTTCCAAAGTTCAACGACCTGCGTTCTTTTGACCGATGACCAACCCACTGACGGCGTTGCTGGCCACGCGTTGACAATGCAGGACAGATTGCATTCAGAGCCGCGTGAGCGGTATCGACCGGCCTCCAGCGTTGTCAACGAGTGACCAGCAAAACCGTCGGTCACTCGGTCATCGGTTGGAACTGCGCACCTCTTTCATCTCCGAAAGCATCCTTGCTAAAAATGGCATAAATTTTGCACGGAGGAGGGCACGCGAGAAGGGGCCTGCCATTCACAAGAAGCTCAATGAATGTAAACTGCCGAAATGGTATAATGTCAATTGGCTTGAGTACATCCAAACAAATTTTTCATTCCACCCTTTTCTGTATTTTCGTGTCCAGTGTTTTTGAAAGCCATAGACAAGTGTTATATGCAGTGGGTAATGGAGTACTGTATAGAGTTGGTCACGAGATCCTGTGGTCCGATTTTGTGGCTGTAATTGTTTCGATTTTCATCGTTTATTTCTCCTATCTCGAGATCCTATGCATCACCCGATTCTTCTCTTTCAGAGTGGAACCCGCTTCATCAAATAAGCAACCAGCTCGACCTCCTGTAGATCCTGAATTCGAAGGTGAGTATATTTCTTGCGGTCTTTCCATTTTCTTGATCTGGTCGCGACCTTCAATCTGTTGGTTTCATACTATTCATACTTCATAATTTATTGTGAGGAACCAGTTACGTACACTAAATAACTATTAATTTGCCCTATCTCATAACTAATAGGAATATTTTTTTTGTTTTTTCAAGGTCGTATATTTGTGGAATAGATCATCACTCATTTTCTTTAGCTGAAATGAAGCGCATTGAAGCGCTACTGGATGATAGCCAGAGCCAGCGAGCCAAGGAACTTCTCGGTTGACTTTTGTATACCATTTCTACGAGTATAGTTGTAACCAGTGCATTACTTGTTGTTCTTACTTGGATGTTTTCTTTTGTTTCAGTAAGTTTATAACTGTTATATGTTGTACTAAGAAACAAAGTCTAGCACGTTGTTTTCAAGTTGTTCAAGTTGATAAATACTGAATGGGATCCTACTCATAGTATTATGGGTGCAAATCAACAAAGAGTTTGAGGTCAATCTGATTAGACTAGAAGATAATTTTGAAGTTAGTTGCTCAAATTCGAATATATGTAAATCGTGGTGGTAGGTGGTAAAGGTGGTATGGTGGCAAGTGGCGCACTATCTCACACGAACGTTCAGGGATTCAAATCCTGGATCGATATCCGCCTAAGCCAACCAAGCTTTCCATCCC